CGGATGGAACATGGAGGATCTCAGTCTTTGGAGTACAGACGACCTTCCAGAGGAGGATGAAGCGCGTCAAGAGGCGACTTTCGAGAGGACACTTAACACTGACGGCTATCCTTCGGTGCTATACGACTCCGGTAAGAGCGGGAGTCGAGCAATGCTTCTGCGCAACCATAGTAAGATGAGTGTTGTCCACAATCATACACCACCGTGCAAGTCCGAGCATTCCAGTGTGACCGTCGTCAATGCCAACGCCGAGTCCTCACTTTCTCTCGCTGCGTCCAGGTCTATGACTGTACCAGATAAATACCGAACACCGCAGAGGCAGCCATGTTTGGAGGATTGGGCCGCGGATCCGTATGGGTTCCTTACGTCCGGCGCGAGGGCGGTCCGAGCGTTTTGTCGTCCATGGCCGACAAAGGTTGTCGGCATGCCTCAGGATATGAGCTTTGATATCAAAAAGGCGTGTTTCAAACTCGCTGTACGTGTGTGTGAAGAGGACGCAGTGATTGTGAATGAAGTGAATCAGGATGGAGAGGACGAGGATGGTAAAGGGAAGAGGAAGGCCACGGAAATTTTTGTGCCGCTGATCCACTTTGGTTCGGAGGATATCGTCCAGCCACGTACTTGCAAGGGTGAAACAGGCTTAAAGTCGAGTGGCAGCGGGGAGACAAATGGGTCTCTGGTATCGAGCGGGAGGAGCAGTGCAGTCGGGTCACGGTGGCCTTCGTCCGTTGATCTCCCTGCATCTGTTTCGTCGGGCGCGGACACGCTCTCAAGAGATCAGGAGGTTAATATTATGGAAAAGCGCAAGCTCTTGGATGTGTCAGTGAAAGTGAGTGGGGGACGGTGGGAGGTAGAGGGACAGACGTTAAGGTGGTGGTACGACGTCCCGAAGGCAGGCGAGGGGGAGATGCATTATTCGATCGAGATCAGGCGAAAATCGGGTGTGATTAAGTCTGCTCAAGTAGCCAGAGGGATGCAAAGGAAGAGGACTTGGTGTGAGCGGTTCTGCGATGACCAGTGTCGCATAATGTGACCATCCATCGTCTGACATTTATTTTCTTCTTTTTTCTTCACTTCTGTGTAACCCAGCACCGCTTTCTGTAATTATATTGCTAACTATACACTTGCATGGTTACTATTCTAATCCGGCACGTACCCATTCTCATGTATATCCTTGTACTCTAGTGTACTAAATAAAGATTTGACATCTGCACTTTTAGTCTGGGCCAAACCTAAATTTGAACTACAAAACTAACTCTATGTTGAATCAGATGATGAAGTAGATGAGCCTGCTTTCGAGGAGTTTGTGGTATCTGGTGCGTCTACTGGGGTATGCCGCGACGATTTGTCGACAGGCGTTGAGTTTAATTGTATACGAGGTATCTGTAGCGGTGTCTCCTCGAACTCGGCCCAACCGCCACGCAATCCGATTTCTACGATTCTCTGCAAGATTCGTGAGAGTTCGTCGTTTCTGTGATGCAAAATCGTTGTTTAGCATCATGGCGCTCAAATACGCACGCGACACACGCACCTTTGCTTCTCAGACTGCATTTCATCCTCCCACCGTGCTTCAATCTCTTTTACACGTGTCGTGAGTTCCGTTACTTGAGTCCCTAATGAGTCGAGTTGATCGTCGACGTCGTCACGCCGTTTAGACTGCTTCTGTGAGGACCGCCACGATTCCCCTATGATCAGGGCGGCAGCCACGGTGAAGAGAAAACCTTCCGCGAGCGCGTTGGCGCCATTTTCTATCGCACTTGAAAATGTAAAGGTTTAATAGAGATCCCCAATCGGAAATGATAGACGGATACTACACCGTGTTTCCGAGAGCGGCCTGATGTGCTTCGCGGGCTCGCCCATGATATTCGTACGCAGCTTTGTCTCTGTCCGGTATAATCGTTGTGCAAGGTTCACGCAAAAGTTACGGAATGTCTCGTGTCTGTGTGACTTTTGTGGTCAGAATTAGAAAAGGCAAGTCCTCTATGAACTACTGTACTGTGTTGCTTGTGCTTTGAGTCGTGAACTGATGGGTTTCGCTACAGTCTGTAGAACATCAGCATCAACTTGATGTACAGTGGATGTGACAAGAATGTCCTACACGGATGATAAGAGTAGCTATCTTGACTGAAGCCATTGTCAGTTTGCGAGCAGCCTTTCTTGGATCAAAAGAGGTTGCGAAGTTCGGCCGCTTTCGGCATGTCCAACGCGTGTCCTGTTTCGATTCCCGCGATGAATGACTCCGAGCCCCCTTGTCCAATTCTACAAAACGGGGTCACCGAACAGTAACGATGTCTGTTCTAATAGTTCAACTGGTTCGTCGCGTGCAGTATCTCGTAACAATATGTGAATTTGTGCCATTTTCGTGGATCTACGTATACTCAAATGCCAAAATTTATCGTGCAAGATTTAATTTCCAGAACCTTGCCTATTCACTAAGTCTTCTTTGCAGACTCAACCACTTCAATAGCTATCAGAAGACACGGACTGAGATGATTGGTATTATCAAGTATTAAATGACATACTCTATCATTTGCGTCAGGATTGCCTATAATCAATTTTTACGCTTTTTCGCTTGAGATGGAACTACATTCACATCTTCCATATTACCCTGACAGATAGTCATACTGCGAAGGGTAGGCATCGTCATATGCGCGTTTGCGTCCTGGCCCCGCAAGAAAAGCTGCGTTAGTCACAGTTTTAGATAGTATCCACAACGCAGGAGAATCACCTAGATTTCGAACGAACCTGGAATGGTCTTCGTTATGTTTTCGTGATATTGGACGCTCTGGCCACGTCATGCCTCACCGAGACTTGATATTCTTGTCTGCAGTGTCTGAACGGGAGTTAGCATCTTGCTCTTCTGAACGTCGGCGCCATACAATTTGATGTCCAGAACTGAGGCCAGGAGGGATATAAGAAGTTGGAAATTCGATTTTACACTGCCTTTCTCGCGCAGACGGGCGAGTACCATCAGTATGAACAATCTATCCCTTACTCAACCGCAAAGACATTCTCAGCGTCCCAATCGGGTACTTCTCTGCTACATCAGTTTCAATACCCGGCAAGATCAACTCTGCGAATATTTCTTGAACACCGTCGAGAATGTCCCTTGTGCTGGGTCATCGACCGTCGCCAAGAGCTCTATTGAGGACCTGAATCTCAGAGGATCTGAACGCTGCAATCGGCGGAATTCTTGCTCTTAACCGACGTTGTTCTTCACCCAACTTCGAGGCCAACTACCAGGTGGTCTGTTCCTATTTTTTTTCTTCCAGCATACACTGATAGATTTCACCACCAACCTGGATCTGAGCAATACCATAACGTCGTTGATTTCAGACCAGATATATATAGGCAGAGTTATGATTACACATGTGTGAAGATGTTCTGTGTAATTTCCATGTCGAAAACCGGGGCCGAAGTCATGACTTCTCCACAGAGTTGCAATTCATTACAAAGATTATGCATTTGATTGATCAATCTGAGTATATCATAGCAATTCATCAAGCAAGCGGCGTAAGATATTACCTAGACCGGAGCTAGGCAGGAAGTTTTCCATTTGTCTGATAGAGGCGCCTCATCCGCTCAGTAAAAGAGGTCACTATTCAAGAGAAGAATGCAGCACAACAGCAAAGAGTAGATAAGAAGTGAGATAATGGTGACCACGAGAGCCACAGGAAAGGTTAGTTGAGCTAAAAGCCCAGCGGAAACACGACCTTTAGCGTATCGGAATCCAAGCCGTTCAACCAGCTCACAGTTTCGAATATGAATGCAATTGAACTTATTCAGAAGAGACTGTCGAATGTTCAATGAAGAGTGACGTGCTGACAAAAATGTGGGAGGTCAATCATATCAGAAGTTCACACGCCTTCACAGACTTCATTTCTCGACTCGACACTTCAAACTCGTCGCGTATGGCTACAGGAAATAGCTCTTTTCCCACAATCACGATCGATTTGGTGCATAAGCTTGGAATGAACTGAGAGTTTGCCTAACTGTGGGGATGCGTATCTTAGGTTCTGGACCGGCTTACTACAAAAGACGTCTTAAGAGGCATGCTCCACTCCATCCTATTCCATCGGGTATTTGGGACCATCAAGCCGCAAACATTCGAGGTTCTAGACGTGACCATGGTGCGCGTTTGATTGGTGTGCGAAAGAGAAGATTTAATAGTATCTCAGCCTGGCGTCTCGGACCCAGAAATAGAGCAGCTCGTGAACGATAAAGTCGATGCGTTCTGGCGAGGGATCGAAGGAGGTGCAAGCAAACGTGGCCAAGTACCATCACCATCGCGCTTAACTCAGTGTGGTGCTCACTTCTCGTAGATAAAAATTACATTTTCAGTGAAGCGTCCAAAGAAATCATGGATTCCAGTCTATATGGGGGAAGAGGTTGTGCCTTGGGAACAGTGGTGCGTACTCTTCAAGGAAACTTGGACATTATCCCTCTCACTCGAGGCCTAGGATTATCAATGCTGAACTGCGGCAGTCTCCAGGAGGTGAGTAGTCTTGACTCGATTTTGGAACGTCACAATAATTCACTTTGATTTTAGATCGGGCGTTCAATGCAAAGCTCGCAGATACACTCTCGCAAGCTGTATATATGATGCTTACGCATACCTCAACGGAACGGGGGCGTGCAGCTGTACCTCTGATCACAAACGCTTCTGACATTTCACCATTCCCAATTGATATATCTGTAACAGTAGGTGGCCTGGAAGTGGGATGATGAAGTCATGATTATACCAGTATCCTGGTCAGGGTTGGTTGTATTGTAAACGCTAACAAAACAGTGTAGCGGACGTAGATATCAAAGTAGTAACATAGTAACAGAAGGTACCCCGCATTGTACACTACAAAGGACATAGAGCACAGAACAACGTTTGATACGCTCACCTTTGTTCTTGCGTATAGCGGAATGATGTGTTGCAATATTTCTCATGAATCATGTCATGATAGGTGAATGGGTTACGCAGGAAAAAAGAAGAATCAAGTGCTTCAACATGACCGAGACAGGGGTCGAACCTGCAATCTCCTGATTTAATGAATTCATATCGTAGTCAGACGCGATGCCATTTCGCCACACGGCCCTTGCTGACTTTGCTTAATTTATCAACAGGGTAGCACTCAAGCTCGCTTCAATCAACAACTAGCACAAACTGTTCTTCAGTCAACCCGCTCGCCAATTCCTTGAGGAGAGACAGCTCTTGATACTGTTCCTTTAACATCTTCCGCATTTCTGGTTTCGTCTTCCTCGCAGGTGGCAAACTCATCCTCAGTTCCTTCAAAGTCGATTCACGTAGACGGGACGCAACCATCTCGGCCATATGCCCATTTGATACAGCACATTCTGGCAGAACAAGCTTTCGAAGGTTCGGCATGTGACGCGTCTCTGGCGTAATTGTCAGAGCGCGCATGATTTGATTACCGACTGGGGCCACGTAAAGTTCCAGTTGACGGAGCTCGGTGAGCGGAAGGGACACGAGTTTGAGGGTTTCAGCTTTCGTCATCTGGGGATCGAAGAGAGATAGGGAGGTGAGAGGTGGCTGTGAGCGTTGAAGGAGCGAGATGATACTGTCTGTTGAGCGATGTAAGGGACAGATGGTACAATGAAGGATCTCAAGAGAGCACAGGCTCGGCACGATGAGGTGGTTCAAGAGAGTGGTGCGACGTCCGTGAGCTTCAATCTTGAGATGACGAAGCCGCGGAAGATCAATGGGCCCACGTAAGCCAGCACATACATTGTTGCGTTCTGTGTCTATAAGGTCTGCATAGTCTTGATAGATAACATCCCTCTCGCTGACGGCTCTTAGGCGACGCAGGCTATCAACTTGTCGTTCAGCATTATAGTTATCGGTGTATAGAAGGGAATCATCATCTGGCAATAGTATGGCGATCTCCAAGTTGACGAGATTCGTGCAATAGACCAATGCAATCATGAGACCAAACGTAACGACATGCTCGGGAACGTTCCGGATGAATATAGGGAGCTTGAGATGGGTAAGCAGTTCCCATGGCATCAAGAAAGGGAGCGTCGGTCGCTTGAGTGAAGTGGCTTTCCAGGAGACTTTTTGAACCTTTGGTTCGCGTCCGCAGATTGCAAGCCAAACGGAGGTTGGATCCGTGGTTCCGCCAATGTCAAGCTCCACAGAATGTAGATACGGTGCATCGAAGGTGGGCACAGGTATAGGAAAGTCACCCGAGAGCTTAATAGTCAGATGCTTCATTCGCTCTGTGTTAGATGGCTCCATAAATAACCTCAAAATCAGGTTGGTTGCCGATTCATCATGTCCTTGATCACCAGGAGGATCATGAAGATAAAGTGAAATGAGGAGGGTCGCTCCAGAAGGCTCTTTTGGTGCAGAACGCTCCAACCACAAGGTAATCATACAAATTTGCTTCCTCCTGGGCTTGTAGACAGCAAGTGATGTCCAAAGTGATGGAGTGTTACAGAAGTTCCTCCATCGTTTGCACACAGAAAAAAGGATCATGGGGCTGGCAGAGAAGGATAAATTTGCAGTCAGAGTCGGCTTGCAGTGGGCATGATTAGTCCTGTAGTTATCCTCTTCTTCGTCGTACAAGTAGTGTTCAAAGATTGTAAGCAACAGATGATCTGGTAGGCAGTGAATAAAGCACGCAGGTACCGGGACAACTTCCCGCGGAGGACGGTATTCGAGTACTTCAGGATATAGCTGGTAGAAAGGTTCCTTCGAGTCTTTAAAGTCCTCATGTACCTGTTTTGAGACGTGGTATCTCGAATCGATCGGTGCTGGAGAGGACATGATCACGAATCCAAGGCTCAACATGAATGACTCTATCTCACCCTTGTCAGCAGCCCACTGAAATACTGTAGCCGCAAAACTTTGTGCTTCTTGAAGCTTTGTTTGCATTTCTACTAAGGAAACTTCAACTTGCACTTTCAAAATCTGAGTTCGAGCATTTTATATGTCGGGCAAGGAATCACTGATGTGATTCATTGTTCCAACGCATAATAGTTGGACTTTTGATATGGAAAGCACAAAAGAGTCTCCCAATCGCCATACAATTCTCTAGTCTAGAAAAAAGGACTGAGTAGCCTGGCTACCGAAAACCACGTAAATTATTCAGTTTTTATTGTGATGGTCTGTCACGTACGCAGACAATTGACTTTTTTTGTGTCCTTCAATCGTTGAAAGGGGATATGCACAAGTAGTGACAATATTGCAGGGCTACGTGACTAGATAATTTGGGTCAGCGGCGGGCCTCTTTCAACAAGTTTTTGGCAGACGACCAACGATACCCACGTGTCATTTTTGATCGATCAATGACGTGGATCGGGGATGCATTGTACTTCCCATGTCAATTGAACTTGCTGTTCAAGCTCACTCATAAAAATGTCTGTGGACTCATATGACGTCTGTATAAATATCACAAACGACCCAGACCTCTACTTCTCTGATGGAAACCTTGTAATCCTCACACGAGACCATGCAGGCAACCACACGTACTTTCGTGTCCACCAGTCCATCCTCACAAAACACTCAAAAGCACTGAGTGACCACATCTTTCCAGACTCATCGCCCTCAGAACGAGAAATCTATGATGGTGTCCCGCTTGTTGAGTTTCAGGAAGACCCCCGCGACCTGAACATATTCTTAAAATTCCTCTACGAGCCATTGTAAGTACGCATGCGCTTGATGAGTCGACAGACACCACCTCTGAAACAGAACTGACCAGTTATGAATTTAGCGCAGCCCCAATTCAAAGAGGAGACCCTGACATAGCCTTTAAGATGTACGGGGCATTGAGGCTTGCTGACCGGTTTTCTATTGACCCTCTGAAAGAGACCATTCTTTCCTACATCCGCGAGGACTGGCCTCAGACATTGCAAGCATGGGATGAACGCGAAGCCTTGTATTCACGTCGTCTCAAAACATCCCCTGGCTTGACTATGGACGACGTCGCCCCAGAGCCTGCCTCTGTCATCCGGCTAGCACGGAAGTTCGAACCACAGATATTAACGCTTGCCTTCTATCACCTTTCGCGTCTCCCGGTCAATGCGACGTATGGTCAACATAACCAAGCTCCACGCCATGCACGGGGCGTGCGTGGATACCTATTGTCCCCAGCGGACAGGGAGAAAGTTGCAGTGGGCCGCGAGCGGATGCTGCGGTGGATCTCCGATCACCTGGAGTCGCTGGCACTTGACACGTGGCAGTGTATAGCAGAGGGAAGTTGTCAACCGCATATCTATTGGCGTGTCGTGGTTCTGCATCGTTCTGTAATGCGCAGCATGGACGTGTTGACTACATTGCGGATGATGCGAAGCCACAAACAGGAGAGAGGGACAAGCGACGTAGTCGAGGATGCGGTGTGTCAGCACTGCAATGTGAGATGGGACACGTTGCTCAACGAGACACGTCGCGACTTTTTCGATTCTCTACCCTCGTTCTTCCCTGACTTGTAATTCTTAGATTGGGTCTGACTTCATAGGATGATGATCAATTCCTCGAGATTGTTGTTGTGTCTGAATATCGTTCGTAGTCTTGAACGTGTTTGGCACACACATCTACCTCCGAAAAATCGTACAATTTATGTATGTGCACCTTTGGCATATGCCATGCTTCTTGATTTCGGTGTAGAGTCGTTCAATCTATGCAAGGTTCATTCCCCCAAGACCGTAGCCTTTTGTAATAATGAACTAAGTACATTCGTTCTCACCACCCACCACACCATGGGCCGCTCTTCCTCCTCTTGAAAGCTATCTGCTCCAGGGATGCTCTCTCCGGAACTTGAAATGGATACATTGACGGTAAAATCATAATAGACAGCAATTTATCTTCCACCATAGAAAGGTTCTATGCATTAGACAAATAGAACTCTCGCCCAGGTTTGGGATTCCATTGACATCCATCAGTATATGTCTCCTCGATCGAAGATTGACAGAGCATAGCATGGAGTGACAGGGCAGGACAATGGGTAGACAAAGAGGCAAGGCAGGTAATCGACAACTTTGTTGAAAGGATCCCTTCAGCGTGAAAACAGTATTCGCAGCATTCCGCATTGTCCATCGATTGTGTACACGATCAAATATCTGTCATTGAAAACTATGGATATATCACAACTAAGTCCTGTCCACACCGCACTTCCCTCTGCACTGCTTTTTCAGGCTGGTCGTCTGATTCACCACTTTAGCCTACTTTTGCTAAGGCCTAATTTCTAATCTTCATTTTAGTTTAACGGCAAGTCAAGCGGTTAAATTGGCAGTGCTTAGCTAATCTCTTTCTCGCATTAACTTTGTACCTCCACATGGACGTCAGATCCGAGGACTACAGCTGCAAAGAATTGTATACGAATGTAGGTCGCCTATGCGGTGACTGCGGATAGCTGTCTCATATTTAATTCGAGAGCGTTCGATGCCATAAGTCTCTTAACGGCACAGCGGCATGAGAACCAGAATGAACAGATCTTCACACTGCGGACAAAATCAGTATTTATTTCCAAGCACCGCCTTATGGTCAGAGCAAAATGTTCTAACGACCATCCCATCTGAAATGTAGCTTGTTTTCCGAAGAACACGCTGAATTGCTGTCAAGCTAGATTGCGTCTGTTGTGCAACGACGTATTATATATTCTGAGAATTTCCATCTTCATTCCTTTCAGGTCTCTCGATTTCCACACTTGCCATGTCAGAGAAAATCAACTTTGCGAACATACTTGGTGTGGAGTCTGTCTCTGCATCCATCGTCTTTGCGGCAGCCTACGTCCCCTTTTTTGCGTGGTTCGTACGCCAGTCTATCAGGCGTTCAAACTATGTGTTCGTCGCCTTGTCGATTTTCTGTTCCAGTAAGGCAACGAGAAATCTGTCTCTCCATATCGAGGCTGATAAGTATACCCAGTCCGTATCGCTGCTTTCATAATTCGTGCAGTTCTAGCAGGGTCAGAATCCGCAGGAGAGAACCTCAGTCTCTATATCGCCGACTTGGTACTATTCGGCGTCGGATTCTTCGCTCTCTTATATTCAGCGTATACTCTCGTGCTCGACCGGTACGTACCACCATTTAACAACCTATCAATTGTGAGTCTCGGCTGACTTTGCTTGATAGCTGGT